TTTTTTTTTTTGGGGGGGGGGGGGGTGGAAAAAACCCACCCGGATTTTTTTTTGGTAAAAACCAATTGGTGGTTCCCTTCGGGGGGCCCCGGGGGGGGGCCCCCCGGTTTTCCCTCTGGACAGGGGTTCCGTTTAAAACCCCCGGGGGGTTTTGGCCCCCTTTTTTGGTTTTGGGGCTCCCCCCATTCCCCTTTTTTCCGGGGGGATAAGGGCCAAACCCTCCCTCCCCCTTTTTCTTGGGTACAAACCGGCAAAAAACGGTGTTTTTCCCTTTCCCGGGGGAATGATACAAAAAAATTGAAAAAGGCCGGGCCCGGTTTGGTCCCCCCCCCCCCCCCCCCCCGCCGAAAGAACGGCATCGCTTGTGTGTGTGTGTGTGTGTGTGTATGCGTCTGTTCATCCCATCTATTCTGGCGCCAGTTTACAGGCCTTTCGGCGTATTAACATACCTGGCGTATCAGCCGGGTTTACGAGAGGAAGGTCACACAGGGGCTTTTTTCCATTTTTTTTTGGTTTTGGCCCACCTTTCCCCCTGCGGTGCTTGCCTTGGCCACCAAAAACAAAAGGAGAAACAGAAACAAGTACAGGAGTGCCGGCAGAATCCCGGGACGAACCCCGGCACTACTATATAGGGCCCCCCACCGTACGTCAGTATAGCATCTCACCCCTTTTCCGCGGTGACCGCCTTCACCTCTCCCCTCTCTTGCGCCAGCTGTTCTTCCACGGCCGCTTTCTCTTCCCTGTGTTGGGCAAGCGACAAGTGTGGAATGAGGTACGAATGAGTGAAAGTGCGGCGTGAGGCGTGGGTCTACAGCATGCAAAGGGCACCAAGAAAGACCGCATGCACGGTGCTTCTCGCCATACCTGGGCAGACGTGCGAATGAGGTATTGAGCCAAGAGCATGCAAAGGACACCAAGAAAAGCTGCGTGCACGATTCTACTCGGTAACAGCGGGGCATGGCTAACGAAACCGGCAGGTGGGCGCCGGTTTCCACGAAAGTGGTCGAATCCTGACAACAAAACGTGACTGTCGCTGCCGACACAGCTTCGCCGTCCGACACGCGTCGCAGACGACATCACTCGCAAGGCCAACATGAAACTACTATGCCGAAGGACCAAAAACGAGGCGGCGCTGTAACAGAGCACGTCCGGAAGCCAGCGCTGGCATGCCTTGAGGCGGCGGCTTTGTCCTGTCGCATGTAGGGACCAGGACATGGACCAACTGAGGTCCACTGTTTTGGTCGAGCGTCTACCATAGCGTCTCCAGTAACACCATCGCACACAAACGAGGTACAACTCACGCATCACGACAAGGCATGCCAAGGACCCACAACAGATCTCCAGGCAACAAAAAATTGTGCCTCCTGTGTCCCAGCTATCTAAACCGTAACCCTAAAGCTCATCATCCCAACCCTACCCCTGTGAGTTCAAGGAACGATGACACAGTGGACTGGCTCACTTAAGTTGATCGAGCTTCTTCACGAGCTTGTTCGTGAGGAACTCCTCCTCCCTCTCCACCTCCATCGCCATTCGCTCTTTGTCCGCAGTCACCTAAGGGGGTAGGGTTGTTATCGTTATCGTTATCGTTATTGTTATCGTTATCGTTAGGGTTAGGCACGAACGTAGAGGAAAGGCGACGGGGCACACGGGCGGCGGCACCACGACATCATCCAAGCGGCGACGCTTCTTGCGTCGCACGCCCGGGCGTCGCATGGCCGCCACCACCTGATTTCCACCGCTCGAACAGGAGAAGCGCGAGACACTTTCGCACAGCCACGTGTGTTACGCTCCGCAGCCAAACCCGCAACCAAAAAAAGAGGAACCACACCACCAAAAAGCAGCCGCCCCTGCCATGATTCTGACCAACCCACTACAAGACGGGAACAGGCAACACAATATATGGGCAAAATACTTCTAAGTTTAGCCATGCTTGCGTCGTGCGAAACTAAAATATACCGTGGGATCGCGTACCTGGGCCAGCTGCTTGCGGAGCTTGTTGACGACGTACTCCTGCTCTCGCTCCAGTTGGTTCTCGAGGTCCACCTTCTCCTGACGCAGCTGCCATTTCGTTGTTCGCCAGCAGGGGAAGAGCGAGCGTAACCATCTCAACAGCACCGAGCATTTCTTTGGATCTCAAAATACGCTTCTTATTATCTTCAAAATGCACGTACTTCTGAAGGTTCCGCTTCCACACCATCTCAACATGGATGTGTCCACTAAACAGGACGTTCCATTCCGTGAGGGCCGGGGGCGGTGTTGAAACAGCGCATCACAACTGGCAAGTGTAACAAGGCCCTTGTCGCACTAGGGAAAGCAGGAAAAAAGCTTCCCCAACAGAGCTCGCGCTGGAGAAAAAATAACAGATCTGTCCGCAGAAAAACTTGCCACAGCAAACGTTAACGGTCGTCCTTCATACATATCACGCAACTGACCGCATACATAAGACAGGGTTTTGATTGATATCATCCCAAAGGCATAAGCACGCCGTCCGGCAACTTTTCTTGTGTAGCGGCGGAAGCAGATCATCACAGCGTTCTCGAACGGCAGACATGGGCTCGACGGAACACGCTTCACTTAGCAGCCAGCAAAAACGGTCAATTCCGAGCCCAGACACATCAACCGCGAACGAAATGTGGACAATACTGACACCACCCGTTGCGGGCACCCCTGCTCGTCGTTAAGTCTGCGGGCCCCCCTCAGATACCGCCACTCCGGTTCCTGCCGGCCCCCTCCTCTCAGCAAGCCCACGTCCCGCGAACGCACCTGGTTGAGTTTCTTCTGAAGGGTGTTCGTGAGGAGCTCCTCTTCCCTCTCCACCTCAAGGGCCAGGTCTTCCTTCTCCTTCTTCAGCTCCATCAGCCGCTTCATCATCTTTAATAAGAACCAAGAAAAAAAAAATGCACGAAAACAAGTTTACCGACCGCGAGCACGGGCGTCGCTAAACGAGATCGTAACTCGCTTCGAGCTGCCACCTAGCTTGCCTGCAAACGTTTTGGCAGCAGTCCTTGAGCAACGACAGAAACACAAAACAACTGCCGGCGTTGACATGTTTAGATCCGTCCTGCATGACTACCATGGGTAGGTACCCTGCCGAAATGCCACAAATTTATTGGGTTAGGGTATGGGGATGGGAGTTTGGGCTACACCCACACATGCATGCAGGCATCTCGTTGTTGAGCATGTCGCATGTAGGCCTCTTGTTGTTTGAGCACGACCACACGCTTTAGACCAACAGAAACACAATAAAAGTCCGTGCATGTTGGAACAAGCCATCAGAGATGATTACGATGCCATGGTCTCGTCCATATGCCCCTCCCTCCACATCGTTCCTGTTCCCTTCTTTCAACCTCTCGCCCCGTGCGTCGCGTTTCACGGTCCGTTGGTTGTTCTCGAGAAATCCCTCCCGTTTCGTGCTCCTTGGCAACAGTACCGTTGAACGGAAACGTCTTTGATGATGAATCCGCCTTGTCCGCTCCCTCTCCGGTGCCACTGCTGTTGTATTAACTTGGTGATAAAAAGCATAGAGAACCTCCCGGTACATGGTAGTGGGCCTTGTTTTCCCAACAAAATTATGAGGTGGGTTTACTGCCCCCCCCCCCCCCCCAGCCACCCCCCACCGTCACCCCTTTCTGGAAAAAAAAAAAGGCAAAAACCTGTGGGGGTTGGGGCCCACAAGATCCGGTATCTGGATTTGTCCGCCGCTCACCCGGTTGAAGAGGGATTCCTCCTTCGCCTCCACTTGTTGGGTCTTTTCACCCCACAAACGCCCCATGGGAACAACAACACAGCAAACGC